ACCATAACTCTATATTTAAAAAAATATTTGACATTACAATTGAGCAACAAAATAGAAGACAAAGGTACACATCTAATGGTTATACTTATTTCTTTATATCTCTTTTATCAGATGATCGAAGATAAAGAAAAATGAGTTTACCACATGCTTATAATTTAGGGTTGTTCATTTGAAAGTACACACTTTATGAGAAAATCTCAAAAGGACCCTGACCTTTCTTTTGAAATTCTCAACTTTTTTGATTTATTTTTGCGTCATTTGTTAACTTTTATGAGTGTATGACACTTGGTGACAGGTTTTTTATAAGATCAAACCTCAAAATCATTTGAATATTATTGGGAGGAAATATAGTCAAGATGAAATTATCATGATTTCCAAGTGTGACTCTATCAAGGAAAGCAATATTATTCTAGTGGAATAGTTGAAGTGGACGGTGTTGAAATTCAAGAAAAGAAGGACAAGGATTGTCTGCCCTCCCACTTCTGGTACCTTTCCGTGTCTTTCTGTTTGTGTGGTCACGGTTAAGCCATGTCCATGTTTTATATTACTATTCATTTTTGTCTTATTATCTCTATAAAAAAAACAATATAAAATGTTGACGTGACTTAACCGTGAACACACAAAACAGGAGGGCACTAGAAGTGGGAGGGCAGACAATCCTTGTCCAGAAAAGAATGGCATGTTATTTCCTGTTTGGTCTACAATGCATGTCATGGCCCCCACCACGAAATCTTCTAAAATATACAAAATCGAATTCCATAAGCAAAATTTCGATATGCTCCTATGTATGTGTTTGGTTCCAAAATATTGAGTCTGGGTCGAATGAGTTTATAAACATAATACGGGTAGGGGATTCTTGGTCTAATTCTTAGTTCTTTAAATCGGATTGAGTCTAGTCGATAATATGACGATCGAGTTCTAAGAGAAAGAAGGACTCTTAAAGGATCAGGTTAAAGAGTAATTCAGTCGAGTCCTAATGAAAGTAAAATTATCAAGGATCAGGATGAGTTTTGATAAGAGTCTTAATATTTCAAGAATCAAGGCTCGTGCCTGATCAGTTTAAGAGTGAATCAAATGTTGAAAGATTACTGAATTTAGAGTCCTAATTTTGATAGGAGGGGTCGAAGGTTGTGAGTGGATTAGTCTTATTTGAAAAGAGGTTGGATCAAGAGATGTCAAAGAGTTACAATCCACGTAGGATTCCACTTCAGCGTGAGTGATCAACACGAAATTCACCCCTATAAATAGAAGTGGTTCTGCAACATTCAAAGGGACCTTGAACTCTACACACAAAGGCCACGCACAAATTCTTAATCTACGCGAAACCCTTTGAAACCTTTGAGAAAACACTAACTTCCTTAACTTCGTCAACACACATTTGGTTTGGATCAACAACATTGTGTTGACAACCAACGATGAGCATCTTCAATTTGGAGCAACAACATTGCTTCGAGTTCGACTGCTTATCTCTCAAAGTCTCTGTCAATAAGGATTTTTCGGCCTTCTTATTGAAAGAGGTCATCGCATTAGCCTCTCGACGAAGTGAGGTGTTACTAGGCTACTTAATGTTTGGTACATTGAAAGCCGAACCTTATTTGAACCTCACAATGACTAGTAGGCCTGTCTTCATGCTCTATAACCTAAAGGCCAAGACGTGTTCCTTGTCGTGATCACTTAGATACATAAGTCATAAGTGCGTTTGACACAACAACAACATTCATTCTACTCGCCAACCAAGCTCGGTAGCGAGTTGGCACACCCACATTCATAAAAAAGTAGTTAGCTTGTTAACTATTCAGGTTGCGCACCATGTGGACTAAAAAAAATTTTAGAGTCAACAATATAACATGCATAGAATAAATAAAGCGTTCAACCGTACATACTAAAAGATTCGAGTCATAAGTTAGTTTTCTTGGACGGGACTGGAAATCCAACTTACTGTTGTTGTTTGGTTGGAAAAATACGAAGCCATAAGTTAGTTTTCTTGGACGGGACTGGAATTCCAACTTACTGTTGTTGTTTGGATGGAAAAATACAAATGGTTTCATGGTCAAAACGCAGAAGGCCCCACTCCCAAGTCCCAAACGCAAGTAGTTCATCCCACGTTTTGGAGTGCCGTTAAAGCCAACTTCATCATGCCTCCCACTCACGCTGCTCACATTGTGAAATAAATCGTACAACTTTGTAACGGATCTACTCCTTTGAATTCATTTTCACACAACGATTTCCTTCAACCAACTACATGCCTATGAAGATAACAAGCACGCAACCATGAGAGCAATTTTTTAGGGGATGTGTTATCCACACATCCCATTTTACTTCTCACACACCCTTGATCATTTATGTCCGTTGATCTTCTTCAATTCATCCGATCCGATGGCCGAAAATTAAAAAGGTGTGAGAAGTAAAATGGGGTGTGTGGATATCACACCCATTTTTTAGTGTACTGGGAACACGGCTTGTACATTACGTGTTATAATATAAATAGTTGGAAATTTTATTTTCAAGTATCCAACTACTTGTATTACGACACTTATTGTAGCAAAACGTATTACTTGTACATTGAAAAATCCCTCCAACCACAGACTTAAAATCTTCATCCAACGTTCAAGTGACGATACACCAAAATTGTGTGAGACGTGCACATTCTTAGATAGCTAGTAACAATTTCAAAACATTTCTTCAAATTAGTGAAGCTATATTTATGCATCTTACCTCTGTTAAAATTTCATCCATTTTTTTTTTAACAAATGATATTATGTACACTAAGGGAGTGAGAATTTAAATTCATTTTTTGACAAGAATCGAACTTAAAACGTTTCACTTACAAATGAAGATGAAGTTTCATACAATTTTTTCTTGAACATAATAAAAGGGTACCTACTAACGAGAGAATACCTCAAGACAAAAGGTCTCCTTTGTCCCTAAAATAAGGTGATTGAATTGATGAGCGACTCATAAAAAACATAGCCGAGTCTAATAAGGAAGTTAATGAATCATGATTAGGAGATGAATTACCTCGTTTTGTCACTATTCCGTACCTCCCTCATAAATTAAGTTGCCCTCTCATCTCACGGTCTCACCGCCACCCCTTTATCCACTACTCATAGTCTCGTACTATCATGTATATCATGTTGAAAATGTACAAACACAATTTATTACAATGTGATTGTCTCTGTCTCACCTATCATGCACGGAAAACATCAGGGTCCCAGACGTCTTCTCCCGATCCTATATCTTGGGATGGAAATAGTAGTACCATTATCACAACTTATGATTAAAGCTAGGTAAACCGACTTTTAAAATCACGTTTTTTAATTATAGATGTGTTACAAATTAAAAATTAAATACTTTAATCGATACTTATATAATACTTCAATCTTCAACAACACATCATGTGATCTGTTTATCATTATTCTACAATTATATTTGTTTGAACCGCTCTCACTATGTGATGATAAATGAAATAGCAGTTAGTTCTGAACAACATATTTATTTGGAAGTTCAATTAATTTATGAGTAGGCTCCAGAACAATCCGTGACCGCTGCCGATAATGCTAGGGGAGTATCAAACAAAAGCAAGAATGATACCAAAGTAAGTAATTAAGATGCTGAAATGGAAGTGATAGCTGCATTTGTTTGTTTCAACCTTTAATTTTTATGGATGGTGGTTCGAAGAAAATATAACCAAAAAAAAAAGGGTAAGATGGATTATCAATCAAATCATTCGTAAAATCATAGAAGGTGCTACTTTCCTAAAGCAATCTACCAAATCATCCGATGACTGAATGTATTAAATGTAAACTGAAAAATGCGTTTCAATCCTCCATGCTTTTTTATTGGAATTCAAATTCTACCAACTACAAAATAGAGACTAGGCACCATTAAGTCAAATTTAGGCTTATATTTCCCAAGGCTTCTTGAAATTCGAATTTTCTTTCTTTTTTGAAAAGACTTGAAATGTTATTTTCACTGGTCTAAAAATTCCTACTTAAGCATTAGGTGGCTAGGCACCACTTATATTAGTCCTTAAAAGTTTGAAAATTAAGAAATGTACCTAAATCTACTTAAGTGTCGGTCTAACCCGCCTAGACTACGACTCTCACTTAGATAGAAAATCCTATAGCTTTCATTTTGCATTTTATTTTATCAATAAGTTGTAATAGATTTGTTGAATGTTTGGATGAGCACTAATTATATGTTTATTTCTTATGTTTTCAATATGTTCTAATATTTTATAATTTATATGTCATTTTCTTTTGCAGTTTATGCATCACAATACAATTATATGTTTCTTTAGAGTATTAATAAGCACTTATTTATATAATATATAATAAATTTATTTGAATTCGCCTATTCCACCTAAATCCCCGTCTCACCTCACCTAGCCGCAAGGCCTCAACCTGTCATCTGACTAGCACCTAACGCTTTTTAGAACTTTAGTTATTTTAGTATCACTCTCCCCAACGAAACAAAATTTGTTCCACTTTCCTCCTAGAACTTAATAATCTTCGTCCCACGTTGGATTCTATCAAGTTTGTTAAATGTTGCGATTACTATATTATTTCCACATAAGAAAAGTTATCATAGAGGAGAATTCAGATAATGTGAAACAAAAATTGAGTTCTATAAGAAAAATGAAACAATTTAAATTTTAGGGGAACTGAGACTAAAATCTAAGTTAATGTAGCATGGCAACAATTAAGCATCAAATTTTAGCTCATCATGAGGTGTCTTTTAGAAAAGTTGATGGAGCAAAAAAGCATATCCCACAAGGCCCCAACTTCGCGAGATTTTTCAATACGACGGTAATAAGAGATAGTACACCACGTGTTTCTATAAAAATGGTAGGTTATGTGTGTTAAAGTTTAATAATTTAAAAATTAAAAAATTTTACTATTTACATAAAAATACATGATGTATCATCCGTATTCCCGTCACAACTAAAAATTTCCCCCCAACTTCTCCATTTAAATAGTTAAAGACCAACAACCCCAAGAAATTCCTCACAAAGATGCACACTTTTGCATGTAAAAAAACCTAAAATAATAAAAAACCACTTGCCAGAAGTTCAAAATTGGCACACTGCCTGTTTGAATTGCTTTCACATCTTTCCTTTCTACCCCAAAACCAAAGGCTGTAAAACACATAACCATAGTCAAAGACTTTAAGCACCGCAACCCCCATCCCTCTTTGCAGTAATGGCTTTTGGCGCTCTCCACCACCTCCTCCTTCTCCTCCCACCTTTACCTTTATCACCTCCCTCTCCTCCTCCCCACTACCTCGAAAAACCCACCAAAAGCATAAGCCCATCATTCTTTGCCCCATCAGGTATTTGATTACTTGTCACTGAGAGATTAACAGCAAGCATGGGTTTCCTCTCTTGCAATGCAGAGTCGGCAATCGCCACCTGCGATCCATACAACTGGGACCGCAAGAGAAAACCCGGAACCCACAAAACCCAACACATCAACAAGCTCATTAAGATCAGACACTTTTACTACGACGACCTCGTCGCCGCCACCAATGGGTTCGCCGCTGACAGATTTCTGGGCAAAGGAAGCCACGGAAGTGTCTACAAGGCCATCCTAGACGACGGCAGCCTCGTCGCTGCCGTTAAGAAGACGAAAACCACGAAGCCGTCGTCGTCGGCGAGTCTTCACAACGCGGAGAACGAGATCGAGATCCTCTCGAGAGTTCACCACCCCAGGCTCGTCAATCTAATCGGATTCTGCGCCGATGGAAGAAACGATTACGACACTAAGTTGCTCGTCGTTGAGTACATGCCCAACGGCTCCCTCTACGACCTCCTACACTTAAACTCCCAACCGCCGGGTTGGACCAGGCGAGTCCGGTTCTGTTTACATGTGGCGAGAGCAGTTCAGGCGCTCCACTCGTCGAACCCGCCCGTCATCCACCGCGACATTAAATCGTCCAACGTTTTGATCGACAAGGACTGGAACGCGCGGCTCGGGGACTTAGGGCTGGCGTTGAGGGGACACGTGGAGGACGTTCGGGTTAAGTGTACACCACCGGCGGGGACGTTAGGGTACCTCGACCCGGGCTATCTTGCGCCGGGGGATCTGAGTACCAAGAGCGACGTCTTCAGTTTCGGAATACTCCTGTTGGAGATTCTGAGCGGGAGAAACGCCATTGACGTGAACTACAGTCCGCCATCGGTGGTGGACTGGGCCATGCCGATCATAAAGCGCGGCGACTTCGCCGGAATCTTGGACCCCAGAATCGGACCGCCGTTGGACCCCGCCGTGATCCGCCGCGTGGCGGTGTTGGCTGCGAAGTGCGTGCGATCCTCGGCGGAGAGGCGGCCCACAATGGCGGAGGTGGTCCAGTGCCTCAAAATCGCGAGGAAGAGAGTCCACGCGCCGCCTATCTGGAGCAGATTCAAACGGCGGGTGAACGCGAAGCGCGTGGAGAATAAAAACGATCGTCATGACCACCACTCCGGCGAATACGAAGAGGTTGTGAACGTGAATAGCATGAGAGGAGGGAGTAGAAGGAAGTTGAACGGGAAGGTATCGAGTGTGTTGGGCGCAGAGTGCGAGGGTGAGGAGGACGCGATCATTGGTGGTCGCGTGGCGAGGTCAAAGTCAATTGGGTCGGTGAATGAGATTAAGGCGGGAGGAGGCGGGAATCGTGGGCGGAAGGGAGCAGGGGGTGGGCTGGCGGTGAGGGTGGCGCCGTCAGTGGTGAGGCTGAGCAAGTCGAGGTCAACGGGGGTATTGAATTTGAGAAGTCCGAGGGTGGTGCGTCATCACAAGAGAGGGTTTGTGTTTGAATTTGGAGGGAGGGAGGTTGATTCGGTGGAACTGGATATGTCAAAGTGGGTGATTAGTTTGGATAATCATAACAGTGAGAAAATGCTTGAGAAACCACTGGTTTCTATCTGACTGATGATAGTTTAATGAATTTTTGTGTTGGAAATTGTACTGTTGTTCAAACTAAAAGTTAGGGTTTGTAAAATAAGTCCCAAGAGGTAATGCGGTGCTGGTATATGCTTTCTTGATTTACTCAACATGTTGTATCCTTGTAGTTTATTCTCACGAGAAAAAAGAAACTGTTACAAGTTGCATTTTTGTATTTGGCTTGTATATATTAGAAGAAAAATGCTACGGATATCTAAAAATGCACTAAGGGATAGGAGAGTGGATTAATTCTCAATGAGCTAGTAATAATTTGGTTCATATTCGTTTTTGGCGAAATCAAATCTAAGACTTTTCACTTACGAGTAAAAAGAAATATAACTAGACTGTAGTACTAAGTGCCGATTGAGCTTCTTTTTTAACGATCTAAAGAATGAATCCAACCATCAACTGTCACATCTAACATCATATTTTTATAAAAATTGTTCAAACGAGAGTTAATTAGTTATCTGTTTATGATAAATAAATAGACAAATACAATATTTTCAAAAGATGAGGACATGAAAAATCATTGAAATTGTGTTATCTTGACAACTAGTTCATGAGACTTTGAATTAATAGGTACTTGAGAATATAAGAAAACAACTAAATCATAGTTATAAGTAGGCTCCGCACAATTATATTGTCGATATTCCAAGTCAAACTAAGCAATGCAAGTAGGGAGACAAAGTTTTGCACAATTATATAGTCAATTTTTTAAAATACTATAAAAACCCCAAGATGCAATGTATACACTTCAAATATCAAAAATTGTTAATGGTCCAATCAAGAAAATTACTTAATTATCTAATATTGATTAAATCTCTAGATTTGGAATTACTCTTTCTCAGGGGTCTTACGAATTTACAGAGACAACTCTCAAGTGAACATAGCAAACACATGCATTGTATGCATAAATTAATCAGCAGCATTCTGCAAAAACAAGAAAGATGACTGACTGTTTGGTAACTGGAGTAGGTCAGTCTCTGAAAACGGAAAACCAGGCAATGCCGCAATAGCTTGAAAGTTTTCCCAATTTATGGCTGCTATCATGCGTTTGCCTACTCAGTAATCACTTGCTAAATGGTCCACCGAGGCATCGACGGCATCCCGCATTCAAATGCAAGCAACGGTCACATCTAAAAGCGTTGGCTCCACTCCAAAAACAATTTAATGCAGTGCCCGTCAGCCATGCCTAAGGTAAGATTCTGTTTTTGTCTGTTGGATTTGATCGCAGTTAATGCTTCTTCTTCCGCATTGGATGCTTGTTAATGCCTGCCAATATGGAAAATCGCTTGGAGATGGATTGTCCATTTCTATACTCTCTTTATGCTTTTTTATTTATGTAGTCACGGTTTAGCCACGTTAACATTTTATAGTAATTTTTTTATAAAGATAATAAGACAAAAAATAATAGTAATATCAAATGTTGACATGAATTAACCGTAACCATACAAATAGAAAGGAATGAAAATATATAAGAAGTGGAAGGGCAGAGAAGCCATATCGTTATTACTCATGTTTTTCTAGCCAAATGCAGGTCAATGTCTACTCGGTCCACGAAAATTACAAATAACCAAAGGAAAATACGAAAATGTATGCAGGATATTATTTTCGAGATACGTTTAGTCAAGACCTCACTTTTTAGGAGCCAATTTGTTCGATAATTGCAAGTATATTTTATTGTATCTGCTGGCCCCTCGTATCATTCCATCATTTCACAGATGAAGCTTTTTAGGGAAGAGGTTTTTATTTTTATTTTATAAAATAAGGATTAGTTGTGGAACTCATACCAAATCAAACTTCTACGATCCAAATCGTCTATTTTTGAAGTTATACCTTTTAGATCATCCTTACAAAATATTAGTCAAATCGAAAATATTTGAGATATCTAATTGAGTTTAAAGAAATTAAAGAACACTTTGTTCTTTTAAGAAACAATAAAATTTCATTGTGGCAACTAAATATGAACTTTAACTTACGATCAAGCTAAATGTCATAACGCATTTCTCCATAGTTTAGCATTACTAAACAATTAGAACATAACCACTCTAGGATAAGGAGTGCTTCGGTCACCCTCAAACTCGGGGTCAATAAAAAATCTCGAATCCGAAATGCGAGTTAAATAAAGAAATAAATCTCCAATCCTTCTTGCTAGTTAGTTGTGGTTAATTGTGAGGACCATTACAGTGAAACAGCATAAAGAAAGCTCGTTAGGATGAGGCATAGTCCTCCAAAAGTACATCAACTATAATACTATGAGGGGACGTCATCTGTTCACAAGAATGTTCCACAGGTAGTCCAAAACGAGCAACCCTGTGAATCGCAACGTTGGCTTAACAACGAATGTGGGTAAAAGGCACTTCCATGACTGAGGAATATAGAAACTTGATGTCTTCCACAACTTGGCCAATATATGATAAGTTAGTAGAAGAATCACGCAAAGCTTCCACAATCTGAAACCAATTGCTCTCATAAAGGAAGTTTGTGAAACCCCTGTTCATTGCCCAAATCAAACCAAACCTGACAGCCACCACTTTCGCCTGTAAGGATGTGAAATTATCCGGCTCGTTTCCACACGATGCTGTCACAAAAACGCCTGAATCATCTCTGATAATCAGGCCAAAACAACCCAATTTCCTCTCACCATTCTAGTTGCCGTCAAAATTTAATTTCAGGTGGCCAGAGGGTGGAGCTTTCCATTTCGGTGTGATGCACATAGATGGGTTGGTGGGGGTGAATATCTATATTAACAATCACGAAACTGTGCCACCAGTGAAGAGTGCGCACCACCACGACATCAGGAATTTCACCTTCTTCGGTCCAAAGTTTTCCATTACGAGTGCCCCAAAATTGCCTAACCAATCATCATTGCAGATTTGAAGTGAGCAAAATGGAGTAGATCAGCGATCTTCATAGCACAATACAGAAATTATGCGGAGGATGAACCTCGTAACAAAATCCCTAAATGCGATGACATTCCTGTGCACTTGAAAACAGACAGTCCTTCAACAGATGAAAAATTGATTTTGTATGATGGTTGCACAACACACATGCCAAGTCCGTAGGAATATGCCGCTTCCCTAGATTTTCCTTAGTAGGGATAATGTTTTTACAAAGCTTCCAGAAGCAAATCCTCACCTTGGGGGGAACATTAGCCTGCCAAACCTCAGCCCAGAATTTAGAGTTGTAACTCGAGGTTGCGGAGGAGGAAGCCTCGTTGTTTATAGGATTCAACCATTCCCGAGAGATATGGTAAGCACTTCTCACTGAGAAATTACCACTCTTCTCAAAATGGCAGATTATATGGTCAGCAGCACGGCAAAAGCTCAGAGGTATTGCACGAATCACTTCACTTTGGTCTCGAAAAAAAGGGACCCCAACAATTCCACGTTCCATGCCCTTATCGTATGAAAAATGAGTTGGCAGACATTTTGGAGAAGGCAATCGTTGGGTTTAGGGAGAAGATACAGAAGATGGACGGAAGAGGGATCCAAATGTCCTCCCAAATATTGATTGATTCTCCGCTCCCCACTTGTCATCGAGAGCCTAAGCCAATAATCGTACGAGCAGTGCACAAACTCTTCCAGCAATACGAAAAGTCCAAAGATGCAGATGTGTTTAGGAAGTTGGAATTAGGAAAATACTTTGCTTTGAACACATGGGCCACCAAAGAATGCGGATCCAAAATGAGTATTCATCCCTGTTTAGCAAGTAAACCAGGATTGAAGGCATAAAGGTTCCTGAAAACCAACCCACCCTCATATTTAGGGAAACACATTTTATCCCAAGAGTACCAATGAATGCGTTTCCCACCATCAGTCGTTCCACCAAAAGAAGGCGACTAACCGGTTCAAACTATCACATAAATATTTTGGTAAAAAAGAGTAGTTCATAACATATGTAGGAATAGCTTGAGCAACAGCTTTGACAAGAAGTTCCTTTCTAGCCGCACTTAGAAGCTTCCCATTCCAACTCTGTAACCGTTTCCAAATACGCTTCTTAATATAAGCGAGAGTTGTTAGATTATTTGTGCAAGAGAAGTTTTTTATTTCCTTTTATTTTAAAACCCATATTTTGGTTTTTATTTTATTTTATTTATTTATTTCACACATTGAGTGCAGTGTTATATTTTTTCGACCCCGAGTTCGAGTGTGACAACTTTGGCCTCATTTGAAATTTGGAGAAATGAATTTTTTTTTCTAGTGCTAATTAACATAAGTTCATCCACTTAGTGTGAACTAGCCCATTCTTCCCAACTAAAAATTAGCCCACGCCAACCTTAAAAACTCTTAAGACAAAGTTAATCAGATTTTTTTTTTATTAGTCGAGCGATAGTATTAATAAGTTAAATGTTAGATTAGCCACCGACGAGGTTCGAACCCACACCATCATGCAAGAGCGTAACATCTTTCCACCACTGTGATAAAGGGCCACTTGCCAAAGTTAATCAAACACAATAAAAGGAAAATGAAAATTATAGCTCACTCTTGTAGAAACTCCCGACTCCACTATTGTTTAAGCAATTAACAACATTAATTAGTCATTCATATAATAACGGAATGAGATTGAAACGTAAACCTTTTACAAAATTGAAACGAACAATCTTACTAGGATGGTAGATGTCAAGCCCGTCTATGAAGTCAAGACTTTTAAGTTTGGCTTTCCTTGTCAAATATTGTAATTGAACCACACACATGCTCAATCTAGGTTTAAGCTATTCTCTATTTATGGGTTATGTCTACTGGGAAGAAATGTTCAAGAATGTGGCACATCTCACTTCAAAAGGTTTGTTCAATCATGTGCATCTCATGTCTACATTTCTGCTACATTTTGACTAGTTATGTTGTCTGGGTCAAAATTCCTCACTGATGTCCAGCTGGCTGGGCACACAATTTAAGATAACCTAAATGGGTTGACTGACAGGTTTTATACGAGATTGAATTTTCAGCCTTTGATTTGCAAAGATTGTTCTCTGTGTTGACAAGTGTTTCTTGTCCTTGTTGCTGAAAATAAGCATCCCCTTTTTGCTTAAAAACCCTAGCTTCTCTCATTTTTTCTTTTGGAAAGAAAGTTTATAATTTTGAGAAGGTTTGTTTTTCCTCACCATCTCAGATCTCCCTAGAGTATCAAGCCTTTTCTTTGGGTAATATTCTTCTTTGAATATTTG